TCTATGGTTTTCATTTAAAGAATTTATATAGGATTCCATTTTGGAGACTATAAGGCATACCTTTTTGAAAAAATGCATGCAAAGTCAACTCATTTAACAGACCACACCACATTACTACCATAGAACCATCTCTGCGTTCCAGTATACAATTTATTTCAATATTAAACACATGAATATATAAACACACACATACAAACAGACATATGAAGGCAAGCTTCAATAGTATATAATTATTTCAATTTTGAAAGTAACACATTTCTCCATTCAACAAATACCAAAATACACTAAACAAAACACTATTCATATTCTCAGTTAAACTATATCATCTTCACCAAATGTGCCATCTTCCCTACACAGTACACTAAAAGTCTCCCCTAGCTACAAGTATGAATTAGCATTTTCCAGACAAAAATGTTAATTAAAAGGAGTGTTAAGTGATTTACAGAGATGGACGTACAAAACCTCTGCATAATATTTGACGGCTTGTTTTTCCTCGGTCTTTTTGTTGAAAGATTTCTAATTTTCCAGCACAGGCAGATATTCATCCTAGTTTCTTTAAACAATTGGTTGTTTTGTTCCCCCCTCACTCTCAACTCCACGTGGACTGACCATGTTTTTCTCGACATTTTCAAACTTAGCAGCCTTTGCAGAACTCGGTGCTTCTATTGTCAACGAGGCGGTATCATATCTGGAAGCAAACCAGGAATAGCCGCAAGGAACACATTCCAGCTGACAAACAAAATCCCCCACAAAAGAAAAAAGACCAAGAGAAAAGGGAAAAAAAAAGAGTTATAAAAACTTTAAAAAAATGAAATTGCATACCACAACTTGTAATGAGTAAAGTTTAAAGGTTTAGAAACCTTATAGCGATCACCATGTCCCGTCTGAAATACCTCAACCAGAGCCACTTGTTTTAGGGAGCATCTCGAACAACGAGCATCAGTCATCTGAACCCCAACGTACAGAACACCCATTTAAAAAAAATGAAAATTCAAGACTTCAAATCATATACATTTCGCTTTGCCATGTTACAAAAGTAATCAAATTACGACCACAAAAAGAAAAAATAAAGAAAAAGTTGAACTTAAGAAATAAGAACCTGAATGTGTCCGGGCTCCTCGGGCTGCCTGCTCGCAATTTCCTCAGCAGTTAAACCCTCCTGCACGAGAATCAAAACTATTTTTAGTACAACAATTTCACAAACACCAGATTTTAACTTGAAGAGCAAATCCGGTTATCGTATACTAGATCAGAAATGCCAATTAATAAACTAGAGGCCAATCAGAAAGCACCTTCTTCATACACCAAAACCCCAAACAAAATCAAAGAAAAATGTAAGACGGAAATAGTTAAAAAAAATGCTTAATGAGAAATGTATCATCCAAAGAAACAAGTTTTCAGATCAAATTCCATGTCTACAAAATGATTGGCACCACAGAACATGGACCAACATCGGATAATAATTATGCTAATCCATGTAGGAGATAGCCAATTAAACAGGAATATAGGATAAGGCTCGAAATAATTCTAAAATATGAGGAGAGGAAAACAACAGGAACAAAAGACACATGCACACATGAACAAAAAGTTCAAGTTTTGACAATACGTTGCTTTAGCAACAGCGCTTATCATCAAGTTGCCTCATTAGACTTCAAAACATTTGTAGAAGAATAAAAAAAGACATCCAATGTTCAATTTAATTTGAAGGATAACATCTCAGGAGCATATTGGTAGCCGCTAGGCAAACATACGCTATGACAACAACAGTGAACCCGAAACAAACACATAAAAAATGCAAAAACATGTAAATTACCATACAAACTTAATATGGCAAGAACTGCCATCCTAAATGTAGAAATTATCATCACTACCATGCCATCTATCACAAACAACGCCATTTNCAAGATCATGACTAAAACAATTGAAAACAGAGCAACCACCGAAAATTAGTCAGAATTATATTTGGTGTTTTTTCTTTCTTCTCTTTTTTCACCATGGCCCACAAACAGTAGCACCGAAAACAATTCCAAATCGAAGATAAAAGAGGAAAAAAAGAAAGAGAGAAAGAAAAAAAGACATAATAATTTAACTTTCAATGGACATAATTATTGTCCAGAAAGCACCTTCAATTCATTAGGCGACATATTAAGTATTTGAGCAGGTTCCAACTCCTTATTCAGAAGGCGTCGTGCTAATACACCATTACTCTGCAATAACCAAAAAATTCAACAAAGAATTCAAAAGTTACAGACAGAACTAAAGATGAAAAATGCACTGAGAAAATAGAATACATCCAACAAATGTAAGAGAAAATCACTTAACAGAGCAAGTGACGCAAGACAAGCATTCATGCTTTGCAATCACTGATACCAAATTACTACAACCTTGTTGCATAATATATCCAACAAACAGTTACACATGTGAGAAATCATAAGAAAAAGTTAAAAAACCAACAACAGCACGACCTTAAGGTTGAACGCCAATTGCCGCATCTTTTGATTATACTTCTGAAAATCTGCAGAGAAGGCTTCATGAGCTGCTTTCTCAAGAGCAGCCACAGCATGAGCAGCTGTATTCGGCCAGTCAGCTGATGCATCAGCCTGAAAAATTCACATTGTTAAGAAAGTTTCGAATTATACTGCAAAAATGCACTTTAGCAAATGTTGAAGACTCTGGGAAGAAAAGAAAGCATCTAATGGAACCTTATCATGAGATTTATTGTCTGAACAGTCGATCTTGTTTCCATTCTGTCCTTTCTCATCTTTCTGCTTACCATCAGCACTGCAAACACATTGAATGGATTGAAAAAGCTTCTCCAACCACCTGTCACGCTGTGTTTCCCCGGTCAGCAGCTTAAGATTAGACAGGATCAAAGGGTATTCCGAACTGGTCCCACAAGCGCTCCCAGGTGTTTCTACTTTAAGCGACTGTGGCATACTAAGTTCGCCACCCACCCTGGTAACATCCAGAGGTGACACGTTCCTCTTCCTTATAAGTCGTTTACTTTTTAGTTCATCTTCATGCTCCACAGTAGCACCCTCAGCCTCAAGGTCAGGAAGTTCCCCAATTCGTGCAACAGTTTTCTGTACAAGAAGGTCAATCTCATGCTGTTTATTGTCCTCATAATCTTTGTCGGTTAACTTGAAGAGCCTCCTCTCGTCAGTGTCGTACACTTTTTGCACGATGAACCCAGGATGTTGCTTGCGGTGTGGAATCTGCTTATCTTGAGGTATGAAGTGTATCACACACTTGTGCATGACTGATTCTGCCGGTACCTCATCTCTGTGGAAACTATAGAACAGTTCCCTTGTGTCACTCGATTCCCAATTTCCACCTCCTTTCTTCACTGCTTCTTCTGGACGATAGAACCACTGTCCCGTAACCATAATAGCACCTTCTCGTGTTTTGGCAATATCCTATAGCAAAATAAGAACTCTATAACACTTCTTGAAATGACGGCTTATATCATGAACAATGCAACTAGGTAACCAAATGTTTGCATTGCAAAACATCTGTGGAGCATCACTAGCTCATTCTTATGGACGTGTCTGAGAATGTCTAGAAGGAACCTAGATGACTCATGATCTCTTCAAAAGTCAGAAATGTTTTCTCTTTTACAAACTGAGCGCATTAATAACGTCCAAAAGTATCACACTCATAATCAGGACAAAAAATAAATCATTGAACTTTACTAAAGACTTAACTGAACTCGAAGAACTAAAGCATTTGAGAGGAGAGATTACCTTAACTATGGCTATATATGGCTTCTGATTCCCATTCTCAGGAACTAAAAGCACTGGATCCTCCTGAGATAAAAATCACTTGTAAAGTTTTGAGCTTTATCAGCAGAAAAGTTATTAATGGAAGGGCAATACCTTATGTTTCCACCGTGACATCCAACCTATAACAACTTACAAGGGCATAACATAATCCACCATACACTATTATCCTAAATGATTCTAGAAATAAAAGGATCAATGGCTATTAGTCTTACCAATAGTGATTTTCCACTTCCAATAATAGGAGTCTTAACAATATTGGTTCACAGATAACATAACAGGTAAGAAACAAAAAAATTTGCCTACGCAAAGATTTAAAAGATTAAAATCATATTCAAACTACATTAGTTATGGCAACCAATCGAAATTCAAGCCAATCGGCTATCAATGCCACTATGCTGGAGAAATAAAAATTAGTATCTAAAAGCAAAAACGAAAAGCTTAAGTCTCTCTTCCATATCATTAAAGCAGACAAATGAACAACAAGGTCAAATAAAGCTAGAACCTCCAGAAAATAAACAAATAGAAGATCTAAAATACAAAACACCAACGAGGCCAAAGTCAAATCCCAATAGCACAGTATTCCCTCTAAAAGGGAATATAAGCATCCTACTGCAAAGCCCATAACCATCCACAACACATCAAGACATCCGAATAGAAAACTCTCACCAACTGATATTGAAGACCGTCGTACTCAAAGGACGCGTAATGACTCCGCCTCCCCCTCCCCTTGCCCGAAACCCTAACCACGCCACCCACCGGCAGCGCTTCCAAATCCTCTGGCTCCTCATTTTCACTACCGGGCTCAGGCTTGGGCTCGGGCTCGTCCCTCTTCTTCTTCTTCTCCGTCAGCTCACTCAATTTTACTTCGTCGATATCCCTATCATCGTCCTCCTCCTCGTCTGGGAGATGCACCTTCTTACGCTTCCTTTGGCTTCTCTTCACATCGCCGTTTGAGTTGCGAGCGGGCGGCGAGTTATCCTCATCGTCGCTGGAAGGCACGAACCGACGGTTCCCCATTATCGCCCAGTCACGCCAACGCGTAAGATGGAGAGGTTCGTGGTACGGAATTTTGTTAGCGAGCCTAAGCCAAACGCGCCAAAAAGTTATTGGTGGGCATGGCCCGACCCGGCCCAGACTGACCCGGTCAAGCTGGTTGACCAATGGCCATGAATCTTCGCGTGGTTTTACCAGTCGGTTCACGTTGTGAACTGCCGGTTCTGATTCAGGGTTAGCCCGGGGCTCGGTGATGGTGGTGGTGGTGGTAGTGTGCGTTTTTTATTTTGTAAAGCTTTAATTTTTTTTTATTTTTTTTTCGAGTTAGGTCGAGCTAGGTTGGGCCCGATACCTGATCTGCTAATAGATTAAATTTGGTCTGGATCGTTTTGACTGTTAAAGATCCTGAACTGTTGGAGATCGAATGGTTCCTTTTTCTGTACTATAAATGGTGTCGGGGTCGAGGTTCGGTCTCGGGTTCGAACCGACCCGCTCAAAACCACCAACGGTCAAAATTATGAATTTGACTGTTGAGAATGGTTAAAAATTTTTTGAACCATCAGGCCGTCCCAGAACCAAGTGTTTTTTTTTCCCGGAACGATAGATGTACTATATAAAGCACAAAAGTGCACAGAGAACAAATTACAAGACCCCAACAGGGTAATACCTAAGACCCCAACAGGGTAATGAGACAGGGGCCAACGGCCCAAACCAAAAACACGTCTAAAAAAGAACAGGAATAGAAAACTGAGAGGACACGCACATGGCGGCCTAAAGAACTCCACAACCGAAAATAAAGGAAAGTAAATAACAGAGCCACTGCACAATGCCTAGCCTGTATTCATTTTCCAAACAGAGACAAACAAACACACAGAACCGAAAAGGGCACACAGAACACACTGAAAAGACGAAAAAAAACAAATGAACCCTCCCTCTTCAGCAAATCCTAACCAGACTAGCAACCACCAAATCAACCTAGGGGGATCAAGTGTTCAATATTGAAAAAATAAATTAAATAATANCTGAAAAGCCGAAAAAAAAAAACAAATGAGCCCTCCCTCTTCAGCAAAACCTAACCAGACTAGCAACCACCAAATCAACCTAGGGGGATCCCACAGCATGAGAAGAGCGACCCCTCCACTGCCAAATTGCCTAGTTGAATCGAAACTCATACGACAGATCCCACCCAAAGTCAATTCTCCCAAAGCCACAAAACACCAAGTAATCTCCCAACACCGCCAGACCGAGCCCCCTAACACCACCAGCAGACTCCGAAAGAGCAGTGAGCACCCCGAATCCCAAAGAATCGGGGAAAGAGAATTCTCAATGTCACAGCCCCAGCCCCACCATCCTGAGGGTACAAATACGCCACAACCACCGAGAAACCCAACCCCGAACTGCACTCACCAAACCCTGCCTCCCCACTTTAAGCCGCAGCCACAGAGCTATGCCAAACGTCGGAGAAAACAGAGAAAGCGCAGAGTACCGCCGATTGCAGGCAAAAGAAAACTGAGACTAGAACGGCAAGAAGAGGAGACATACTCTCAGTCGAGACCGGCGGAACCAAATCCTGACAGCTCGCCTCCAACAACCACCATTCCGCCAGTGAAAAGGCACAGTGCAGACCGACAGTCCCCACCTCGGCGACCAGCAATACGAACCAATAAGTCCATCCGAGCCGTCGACGGCGAGTTCGGAAAGAGGCCGCTGGAGAAGCCAATGACGCTCCGACCCAAAAGACGAACAGCCAGAGCCGTACCCGACCCTAATCCAACACACCGCGACCCTTGGACCCTCCACCGCACCGAGAAGGCCTGCGATCTCGAACCCTAATCCATTTGCCGGAAAAGGCAGAAATTGGATTTGGTGACCACAAAATCCTCCAGTACCCGTGGCGAGAAGAGTCGCGGCACCTGGAAGGGCCGGGCGGCGAGGGAACGGCTACCAGCAAGTCGGAAGGCCGAGAGGAAGGCGGTGATTTGCAGATTTGGGATCGGAGAGAGAGTAGATTTTGGGGATCGGCTTGGAGGAGAGAGAAGAATAAATTAATTGGTTAAATGTCGATTTTAGTCTTTTTAAATAAATAAAATAACTGAACATGACGAACTATATGAAAATTATTATCAATTCTTTTTATTTATATATTTTAATACAAAATTATAATTTTTTTAATATTCTTATATGTATTGCGAATGCACATAATGGTTATACTAATTGCACATAAACGTCTACCATATTGCACAAAATCAAACGAGATCCAACGAACATAAATTCGGTACGAAAATTTATATTTTGTTTCGATTATAATTATTATTATTTTATATATCGAGTATTGTCGATACGATGATTTTTTTTATTTAAATAACTAAAATAAAAACAAAATTATATTAAAAATGTTGTTATTATTATTGTTATTATTATTATTATTTTTGTATACAAATATTAAGCTATGATTTTCTATTGAAATATAAAAAATCAATATAGTGAATTTTATGTATTATTGTGTATGTATTAAACTCTTACTATATTATCAATTTTCCAATTGTACTCAATTGAAATAAAATAAATTTTTATAAATTGCAATTAGGCCCCTATATTAAATCAAATTCTCACACAAAATGACCCAAACTCAAACAAACACACCATATAACTGCNGGTCAAGGTCAACCTCAACGGACGTCCGCAGGCGGGAGCCGACTAAAGACATCTGGCATATTCACAAGGCATTTCACGAAGTTGCCCAATGAGAAAAAAGGTAACAAATACTTTATTTGAGTGGTACCACTATTCACCCAATACTAAGAAGAAATACGCTTTCAAAACATGCGTTGGGGACGGAACCATGCAACGGTATATACGGACACATCATCCGGCCAAAATGTGGACCCTAACGATCCAATCGCCATTATCAAGAAGTAGCACAACATCTGCGACTGGAACAAGTTTTTCTTCTTCTCTATTTCAATACTCTCATGAACACCATTGACATAATAGCTGAATTTGTTCTGTTTCGTTTCTTCATTTCGGTTTTGGTGATCTTGATTTATATGAAAATTTTGCTCAAATGACTTTAAACTTGACTACGTCTCGCGTTCCACATGCTACTCTCACTCGCGATGTTAGAAATATTGTGGGTGAGAAAAAATTAGTTTTTGGCGCAAACTTTTAAAATTTTAAACCAAAGAGTTTCTTGTTGTGACATTTGATTCGATCATTAGCAAGATAAACATTATATGGGAATTACTTGTTTTTATACATACAAAATCGCATCTACTTTGCAGGCCCATTAAACCAAGAAGTACATAATTCAGACTTGTTGTAAATTGGGCCCAACCAGAAAAGAGCATCCCGAGAAACTTTGCTGCAAAGACCATGTCAATCCACATTCATGCTTGGACGCCGATCTATTTGTATTATTTCCTCACGAAGATTGTCGATCTCTTTGTAATGTGAATAGGAATCAGTAAAGTAAACTGATAAAGCGACCGCTCAACCGGTCTCATCATTAAAAGATGGACTTTTGCATGAGAACGCTAATGCGGATGGACAAATACTAAAAAACGCCTACAATAGAGCCTGTCGAGCACGTATCAAAGAGACTAGGAAATCGGTGGCACAAAGACGAGGGGAAGACGCGCAGACGGAAAAAGCACGGCAAACGTCGACCTCACAAACAAAAAACAAACCTACTCAAAGTTTACTTTCCGCTCAAAGTTAACTTTACTTCAAAGAAGCTAAATTTAGCTAAACCCTTCAAAACATAAAAAGAAAAAATACTTTCCACAATTAGAATAGATCATGAACAAAAAGTATCTTGAAAAACTTATACTCGGGGCCAATTTATTACATCCACCTAAGTATTAAAGTTTGTTCTAAATAAATCTAACAAAAGCCTTTCACAATAATGATTCGCAAAATATTACTTATTCAAAATAAAATCATCATTCCTTCCAAACACAAATAATTATTTAGAAGTCATACTTAGCTCAAACTGACGCACACACAAAAAGGATAACCAATGTCTTAAAGGACACACTCGACCAAATATATGGGTAAAATATTAACTAAAGGCAAAGTCACATCAGACTATGTTTCTTTGTCACTTCCCGAAGCAATTCCTTGTGAAGGTGAAGCCCTTTCCCTACTTGGAGGGGTGACGTCATACCCTTCAACCAAGTCGATCTTATTCCCCGCGGTCAACGAGCCTGATTGGGCTGGTTCGACGGGCCGTTCGGCTCATGGACATGTCAATTTCTAGTTTGTTGGATAAGAACTGCTCACATAAATGATTTCAACATTGTCAAATAGCTTAACTACGGATTGCATCTTGATTGAATGAGATCAAGATTTATTGAATAAAATCTTTGTGACTAGCTCCTCCCTCACGTTGGAGGTAACATGATGGAAGAGGCTGAACTACCACCCTCTGGGTATTGTTCTTTTTACTTTTTAAGCATCTTTTGATGAAAGAATAATTTATTTCATTATTCTCGTATATGTTTAGTCGATAGCCGTCTCATAATTATGGAGTTTCACATTTGTAAGTCTTGTTTTATGGTCCTAGTCTTCCTAGGGTAGCTATCTTCTTTTTTGTGACTCCCAGTGGTTGTAACAATAGCGAGCTAGATGGCATACTAGAAGAACATTAGTTTATTTATTAGTTGGTCCTTGTTGTTTGTTTTTATTAGTTTATGTTTGATGATTAGACCCTACGTTTGGTCCGTGTTTTGGTGCTCTTATGACTCTTATGACGTGTTTAGGTTTTGTTCCGACCAATGTCATCTGATGGTGCTGGTTACGTCGATCACGGAGATTGGAAAACTGATATAGGTTCATGGAGTATGGATGTGTTTATATTATTTCTTTGCAACTTTTTTTTTGTTTATTTTTTTCGTGGCCTTGTATAACATTCCTCTTAACTTATGTTTGTCATTCTCTTTTCAATTTGAGTTTACGGTCCTCTTATGTTTGTCTTCCATTCTCTTTTCAATTTGAGTCTACAATTCTCTTGTGTTTGTCATTCCATTTTCAATTTAGAATTATAACAATGTTATCCTTCGAAATGATAAAATTGCCATTGCTTTAAAAAAAAAATAGTAATTATCATTTGAGCAAACTCACTAGTAGGTACATTCTTTGAATTTTTATGGCCCACATGTCCAATTTTGGCAAAAGCATGAAAAGTAATAAATTATACATCCTGCGCCCTATTTATAATATCTCATTTTATAGAGTTGTGAGAGAGGTGTATTTAGCTATGACTGAACTTGAATATCTCATTAGATAAAGAAAGGAACTGTTACATTCGTAAACTTCTTCTTACTGCCACTCTCTGCAATCTCCTTGAGGCTCGTCCACGATCTTCTCCGCCTCTTAGTCGATCCCTGTTTGCTCTTTTCCACATCATCGGCATTTAGGCCACTTTCATCTGTGGCTACTTTCTTCACGCTGGACCTATTCCTTTTCCTTCTCTTTGAGTCCAACAACGAGAGACCAGTTGCCGGCAATGGAGTTTCCGGGCAGCTCGTTTCAAGGTTTTGTCCGCCGGAAATCGGCAGACCAATAGCATCCACCTGAGAGGCGTCTAATTTCACCGGTGGTTTAGCTTTTGGTGGACATATTTCTTTTAGATGGTCCTTTGGAGTGCCTCTAACCAAATTCCGGTGGGAACAGAAGTGGCATCTGTAAACAACGTTGTTCTTAGTGGTGGGGTTGGATTTCTTTTGCTTGTGCCGCCGTTTGTTTGATTTGTTCCTCTCAATCCTAACCGTGCAATTGGAACCGGGCTCTAGAATAGATTCACATCTGTCAAACAATAAACTAACATTATGTATATACACACGAACCTATATAACGGCAAGTACAGTCTCAAATTATCAATTAGCAGATCTAAAAGGTCAAATAAATGGATCCATCAATTGAAGAACGATCCAGTTACAAATTTTAAATACGAGATGAATTTTTCCGCACTATATGCATGTACAGTTAACGAAACTGAAGCTATACACCTGTGTCTACATATGAGCTGTACAAGTTTATTCTTATTTATCTTACTCTTGCAATGGTTAAGTTTTCAGTTGTTTTCACGGCCAATCGTTACCACTCCTTTCAGTAGCACAAAGAATATCTGATAGGCTTCCATAGGAAGGCCTAAACAATATCCTCACTTCTCAAACATGCATATGAAATATATTACTGTTAAAAGTTTGCTTCCTGTGCTTAGCCACCAAATGAAACTCCTACGGCGTCCTAATCTGTAACTAACATATTAATAGCTGAAACAACCTACACTCCGCATCTGCTTAACCATATACACAGACACATCTGCCCAGAAAACAGCATATAAATGCTCCATCCCCTCAAGTTTTCTAGTGGTAACAGAAAGCAAAAGAAGAGCATGAAGACTTCAGACACGAAAGATTTTTCTTTTTAATCACCAATTCCAAATTCTAAATAGAATAAACCAAAAAAGATATAACCTTTCACAGACAAATGACGCCGGGTCAGCTCGAAGGCCCAATGCTTCGGTTGTGGCAGCCAAACGCTCTCCAAGAAAAGCACCAAGTGACGGCACAGAAGCCTCGACTGCAGCCCACACTGCAATGTTTTTCAGATGATCGAGCTTGCACATTGTTTTTGGATTAACATTGCCATGTTTCTTGCCACTTGATTCTTCTCTCAGCGTCACGGAAAGGCGTGCCTGGGACCTGGATGTGGCATTCGGTCCATTCTTGTTCTTTCCATTTCCTCCCATGATTTTTTTTTTCTTTTTTGTCTTGCGCAAACTTTCTGAAGAAAAAAAAAATCACTGGAGTTAGTGTTGTCATCAATATACATAAAATTCAGAAAAGCCCTAATACATAATCTTAGGCTGAAGTAAAAACATGGATTAGCCAACACGGTTGCACTTGCACATGACAATTGACAATCCAATATCCCCTCATTGTATAAATAATAATTTCCTTGAACAAACGAGAAACATCAAGAAGTTCAAGCCTTGAATGATTTTAGCCACTATCTTCCTTCACTAAATAGTAAATAATAATCAGCACACAAGATACAGAGGCCAGGAATTCCAATAAGAATTTCCTTATTTGAGAGGGATTTGAAGTTTGCAGCAACAAGAACTGATAACCTGTGAGGTGGATTGAGTTGTTAAAATTATATAGAAAGACTAATGGTAAACCTTTGTCAAAGCAGTAGCTGGTCATATACTTAGGTGCCGGCAGGAATTGAGAAGATTGATTAATTCCTGACTCTAAACTTGAAATCCACCTTCAATATTCAGTTTTAAACTATAAAATAAACATAGTACAATGTATTAATAGATAAAACTGCCACTACGCATATGCTCATATACATTTACACAGTGTACCATTATTAGAGACTACAATGTTTTCGTACATAAATGAATAAATGGACAGCTAAAACTTTTCTTAATCACAGAGATTCACTTCAAACAGGGACAGCAGATATAATTTAGAGATGTTGCATGTCTCTCATATTCCCTGGTCTCTTTTGACACTTGGAAGAGAAAATAGACGGAATATATAATGGAAAATTAGTTTTGACATTTAAGGGAGTGACAACAATAGTGTAAAGGACACATACTTTTTCTGCATGNTCAAAAAAAAAAAAGAAAAATACATGTATGGCACATAGACACTACAATAAGAGAAGAAGGGCACCAACCCTTTAGACATGATATCAAATATAAATAAAATAACAGGCTTGGCTTGAGCATGACAATCCAATATGACAAATTGGACAAATTAAGGGAAACAAGAAAATAAAAGGAAAAATACTAAATATATGTTTCCCAAGTTGTATTTTCGTAATTAGAATATAAGCTTATTTGCGAACATGTATGTCTAATAGTATCCTCTACATGTATATATTAAATTTCATGTAGGAATAGCAATCATTTGTGTGCTTTTTCCAAATTCCTTCATGATGAACGTCCCGTGCAACGTGGACATCTTTCACTTCATCTTCTTCATAATACAACTTTGGTGATAATGAAGGAAATTCATACATATCTAGAGTTGGCTCATCAGTATCATCACCATGTGTTTATCGTTTACCTTGGAGTACCACCGACCAATGTTGGTTACTCGGATCAGAAAAATAAAAGACTTGTTTTGCTTACATGCCATGACAAATGGTTCACTTTTGCATAATTCTCCCCTGAAATCAACTAATACAAATCTTAACTCATCTATCCTCACGCCATTATTACCATCGTCCATCAACCTATTTAATTTACATTTGAAAACAGGCATGGTAAACTTAATGTAATCAAGGCCAACATTGGATTTTTGTCTTTTGAACGAGAAAAATGCATTGACTCAGCTACAAGAAAAATACCACTATTTTGCATAGTACTCTTATCATCTCTTTCTTTTCTTTCGTATCTCTTTCTTTTCTTTCATGTTGAAAGAGTATCCATTTATGTCATATACACGACAACATCTGACATCAAAATTTGACATCAAAATTAGATCCACTAGCAGTATCATCATTTACAACTAGATTCTTGAACCACGTTAAGAATGTCGTGTTATGCTCATGTACCAGCCACCTTTCAGGTTTTTGAGGATTTTGTTGCTTTACTAGTGCTTTATGTGCAACTATGTAAAGATGCACTTCAAGAGTATTATTAAGAACATATGTGTGTGCTTGTATCAACTCTTCACGATCAACACTCCCCGAGAGTCCCTTTACCTGTCCCCTTCCCATTGTGGCGGGCAGTGGGGCAGTAGGGAGGCCAACAGATTTTGCCTATGATAAACACAATACAAACTTCAACAGCCTCTTCCGCAACATATATTTCAACAATAGATGCCTAGGTTGGTGGAGGTTCTTTACATAACCCTTCAAAATTTTCATGTATCACTCAAATGGAAACATCCATCGTAATGCGCAGGGTCACATACTAACTCTCGCACTAGATGAATGATTAGATGTACCATAATGTCAAAAAAGAAAGGGTAAAGTACATCTCAAGTTGAGACAAGATAATTACAGCATCATTCTCCAAATCATTCAGCACACGTGAGTAAATGACATTGCTATAAATAGATGTTGAAGAAGAAAGACAATCTACTTATAGTGCATCTTACTTTTTTTGGCAATATACTTCTAATAGCCACTGGTAGTAGTTGTTGGACTAGTACGTGATGGTTATGAGACTTCGACCCAATCAACTTCAATTCCTTTATTGAACATTGGAGGAATTTCCTAGAGGCACCTTCACTTTGTGTAAGCACTCACAAAAACTTCGTTTCTCATTCTTTGCTAGTTTACATGCTGGAGGTAGATAAGTTCTCCTGCCATGAGGCACTGAACCAACTCCCCTCTTACTCTCAAAGCAATCTGAGAAACTGATAAACCCAAGATTATATAAGGATTATTTTAAGAATTGATCGTAAGCATGAAATTCAACATACACACTATACAGTTCAACTTTTTGAGCAATAATATGTCCACGTTTGAAGTAACAACAATATATTATAGATCATAGTCCCAATTTCAAGTTCAATGTCTCGACTATCATTAGGTTGGAATTTTTCATACATTTTGAAGTTCTCAGCTTGTCTTCTAGTAAGATCTATATTAAGCTATATTTCTAATTAAATCCAAACTGATCTTTAAGAAGTATGGAGAAATGGTTGAAGAAGAGAATCCCGTGGTATAAGTTCCACACTGAAAAGCTACTGTCACATGGAGAAGAAGACCCAAAAAAATAATAATAATAATAATAATAATAAATAGACAGGCGCTTCCAGAATGAAGAGCCCCATACAGCTATGCCTGACAAGTACATTAGCGCTTCATCATAACGCATAAAAACTAGGACTAGGAATCCAGAAGATGTTTGGCTAAGCTTATTTTAGAACCCCGTAAGATACTGTTGTAACAGCTTATAAGTAGGGATGGCACTGGGCCAGGTCGGACCGGGTAAATACTGACATGGACCTGGCCCGCACACCTACCCCACGGACCCGACCTAGCCCGTGACCCGCAACAGGTCCAGCAGGTCGGGCCCGTGACTTGGCCTGTTCTAAGGCGCCTGCCCCTATCAGTTTTTTTTTTTTTTCACATTAAATCATACATTTGTAGAATTCAACCCATTGAGAATAAATCCCGACCTAGTTTAATTTTTCTTACCCTACCATTGAGCCTAAATCCAGCACATTCTCTGGAAGAATCCATCACATTTTCTTTTATTCTATTTTCAGCCAGGAGCTCATCCTAATTTCATGTGTTTGAATAATTATATTTTTTACATATAATAGGCGTAGTTGGGGATTTTTCTCTACCTATGAAAAGTATATTTAATATAAAATTAATTAGACCCTAGAATCATTTCTCAGCAAGAAATTCTTAGAAAAAACAAATATCAATTGAAGTTCAATTTTCCCGCAGTTTCAATTAAAGTTCTAATCAAGACAATTACCTCTGGAGTGAAAGAGCGATTTATGGTGGTGCGGGACTGGGGGATGGCGAGAGCCGAGGAGGAAACGGCGAATGAGGCGAGGCTGTGGGGTTGCGACTTGCGACTGAGGCGAAGCCGTGGGGTCGTAAATCGGCGACTTAAGTAGGTTGAGGTAGAGGCGCTGAGGCGAGGCGAGGCGAGGCGGGGCGGCGTGAGATGGATGAAGGAGAACGGGCGTGAGAAGTGAACTGTGGTCTGTGAATGAGAGCTGAGTCGCCGAGCGGGATGAAGAAGTAAAATATGAACATAACCCTAGGCCATATTCTACTTTACTAAATTATAGTATAACATAAAATTATTTTTAAATTTTAAAACTAATAAAAAAAATGATTAAAATTTAAATACTTTTTTAAAAACTTTATATATTATCCCCTTATCCCCTTATTAATATAATTTCAAAACATGCTGAGCCTAAATGGCTGGCTCGCACGCTTCGGAAGCTTACTTGACAACATTACATGCTTCGACTTTTGGTTCGGAGAAAAATTAATAAATTTATATTCCAAAATAAATAGGATTCTTATTTATATATTTTTGTACCTATGTAATACTAAATAATATCGATATTTTTAATGACATAAGTAAAAAAAATTCAACACGGGTTGACATTTTCATTTAATGTACGGGTGTTTAATTATTATGATTAAAAGAATATAATTTGACAATTTAATTAAAACATAAAGTAATGTTTTATATAAAATAAAATTATTTTAGTTTTTAAAAAAATATAAAATTTAATATTTTTTATAAAAACTTTCTAATTTAACACCCGTGTAATACACGAGAATTGTACTAGTTTACATTATACATAAATATCTAAAGAAATGAAAGATACACAACTTTGCTAGGGAACTTGTGCGTGACCATAAAAGTAGAGACGTTTGGCCAGCCGAAAAAGAAGTAACGTGGCGTGAAGAGAAGGAACTCGTTTCTTTTTATAAGATAAAAGAGTATAGATAAGAGCAGTAATGCTAAGGAGCCAATTGTTGGCTCCGTTATTATAAATAAGAGATAAGAGATGAGAGCAGTAATGCTAAGGAGCCAACAGTTGGCTCCTTAGCATTATTGTAAATAAGAGATAAGAGATGAGAGATGCATAAAAGATAAAAAGTCCCAAAAATTAAAAATCCCACACATACAATTACTCCTTCTTCAATCTCTAATCCGTGGATAAACCTCCAGTCACGGTGGTCATGTTGCCAGTCCCCTCCCAGAGCCACCTCAACCAGCTCCTCCACCTGGCCGTCCTCATCTTCTCCGCCACCACCCTCCCCGTCCACTTCCTCGGCTCCGCCACCCACAACCGCCAGGTCAAACTCCGACACTACCCTAACCCTAATCCTAACCATATCCATTTCCACGACTTCCCCACTCCCCCCATCCCCACACCCGACCCAGACCCGAGCCCGAACAAAACCCCCAACCACCTTGGCCTGTCCATGGCGGCCTACACGGCCCTCCGCCACCCTATCGCCACCCTTATCCAAAAAATGTCGACCGAAACCAAAAAAAAAGTCCTTATTTACAACCGCCTCATTGCAAAGGCCGTCGAGGACTCGGTCTCGATTCCCAACGTCGAGTCGTATGCTTTCAATTGTCTTTTGGCGTTTAACCTCTTTCACATCCTTCGGGAGTACTCCTTGACCACCAAACCCTTCCCGCTAAAAGTCGACGAAAACCTCTCATTTTCGGTTCGCGATTTCTACCCGCTCGAGTTCATAAACTACATCGTGTCGAGGCCCGAGCATTTCAAAAACCGAGCCAGGGACATACACAACACGTCCCGGCTCGTCGGGGGCGAAAACGTCGACCTCCTCGCTCGGGAGGAAATAATCGGCGGGGAAAGTCAACAATGGGCCATATGCCCGATGCTCGGCTCGAAAAAGGTCGCCGATTGTGACGAATCGGGAGCACGAGCACGACGACGACACACATGCCTCGACTGGCTCGACGGGCAGGCGCGCGGGTCCGTTTTGTACGTCTCATTCGGGACGACAATTTCCCTGTCGGGAGAGGAGGCTCGGGAGATCGCCCTCGGGCTCGAGTCGTACGGGTTTAGGTTCGTGTAGGCGTTGAGGGATGCGGATAGGGCCGACATTTTCTCAGGGGAGAGTAGGAAGATTATCGAGTTACCCGAGGGGTTCGAGGAGAGGGTGAAGGGGGCCGGAATCAGGCTTGTGGTGAGGGATTGGGCCCCGCAGGTGGAGATATTGGCCCACGAGGCCACCGGAGGGTTTCTCACGCACTGCGGGTGGAATTCGTGTTTCGAGAGCCTTATGACGGGCGTGCCAGTGTTGGCGTGGCCCATGCATACGGACCAGTCGATCAACGCGATTTTCATGACTAAGGTTCTGAAAACGGGACTGGTCGCCAGGGATTGGGAAAAACGAGAGGAGTTGGTGAGGGCGCGGGTTGTTAAAGATGCGGTCGGGAGGTTGATGGCGGCGGGGGAAGAAGGAGATGATATTAGGAGACGGGCGGCGGAGATAGGTGTCGCCATCCAGAAGGCGGCGGCGAGTGTCGTCGGGAGTTGGAGAGGTTCATTGAGCATATTAGTAAGGTAGATTGATGAGTTGTTGTATTGATGTTTTTTTACCTAGATTTGTTCAATTTTTATCATCGGGGAATTATTGTGGCTTCGGATTAGCGCTTGGGACTTGGTAATATTTGTAATTTAAACTAGTGAGCTTCTCGTGCTATGCACGACCTTATTGTTTAAAACTTTTTATACAACTTATTTTAAATATAATTATTTATATTTAACATCTCATTATGGCAAGAAAAGAAATCTCATTATGGCGAAAAAAGAATTTTTTTTTTTTTTTCCCGAAACGATAGATAATTATATAAATCAAAATGCACAAATGTGCGAATACACAGCAGCCAACGACTGAATACACAGCAGCCAACAACTGAAAAAGTGGGAGGACAGGTCCGAAGCCTGCCTAGAATCCCGACTAGCAACGCTAGAAGAAAAAAACATACTCACAACTAAACTAACCAACTAGAAACAACTACAAGCAACACAAACAACTAGAAACAACTACAAGGACCCCAACAGGGTAATACCCTAGTGTCGGACCCCAACGGAGTAATAAATTTGACACTCGGGCTCACAGGGGCCAACGACCCAAACCAAAAACACAAAACACAAACAATCACCACAAGACAACACAAACAACACTAAACGAACGAAACAACAAAACACAAAACAAAAACATATAACGCCCTTCCCCGGCAAAGGATGGATTAAAGCCAGTAGAGAATTAATCCAAGAAAGAACCGAGACCGATACTCAACTTCCGAAACTGCTGCCGAACCCCTATACAGAAGCGAAACCTAGATCTCGAGACTAACCCGAATCAACCCACCTTCAACCGAGCGTATGATCAGCTAACTCCCTGCAACAACCCCACATTAGTTCGCCTAACACCACTAGCTAAACTAAAAGGAGCCAAACCCACCCAGTCCACAACACCAGAAAACCGGAAGGGATGAGAGATGGCTAATCTCGCTACTCCCGCACCCCGACGAGTACCGTCGCAGACACCGGAGTCCCGTGCCGCCCGCCGACCAACGCGCCTCCTAACATCACCGCAGCCCGCTGATAACTCGAGCTCTAGCCCCAAAATCCATACCCAGAAGCCCAGCCCGACATCGCCAGATGAGCCTCCGAGTGCCGGCCCAAATGAAATTGATGGTGAACCTTCCAATCGAAGTCTGCCGGTAGAGGAGACCACTTGCCTCCGACCGAAGCCACCACCGCAGTCGCTCTTTGCCGACGACCAAGGCAGAGCTTTCATTGAAGTAACTGTTGCAGCGAAATCGAGGAGTCACTGTATCGGGGGCGGCCGAGCGGTCGGAGGTGACCACTAGCCCGAGCCGCTCCGGCGCCGAAGAAGGCTTAATCGGCGGCGAAATGTGAGGCTAGGTTTTGCTACAGTAGAATTGGGGAAATCGCCAGAGGCGTTAGNTGAATCTTATCTTATCATCAATTATTAAAAATTATAATTTGGATATGAGATGAAAAATGACCAAATATTCGATTGAAAAATGATTAGTAACAATCTGATTTTGAAAACTATCAAGTCAAAATTTTTCGTGCAATTGTATTATTTAATATCATTAATTGGTTTATTCTTATTTGGACGTGAGAGATGGCATAGTATGGAATTATTATATACCATGAATTATATTATATGAATAATTCATATATATGAAATTTTAGATATATATATATATAGTTCTTAGTTTGATAAGTACGAAAATGAATCAGTGTGGTTGAATAAAAATAAAAATATTTTGAATTTCTGAATGTGAAACTCAAATAAAAGCGTAATTATTCAAAAATAAAAAATTAAAAAAAAATCATACCTAGTGATTCCAAATTATTTAGGCGGGAATTTGACTAATATTTTAGATTAATTATTTAACTTTTTAAATATTAATAGATATAGAAACAGTATAACATTCAACTAACTAATGCTCACGTAATAAATAAGGACTTAAAAAATTAATGTGTACGTAATAATTAAGGACTCAACAAGGTATAATCAACACGGAATAGACCAATTTTCGTGAAGGAATCTCCAAACCAAAACGACAAACCAAAAAATGTGTTGTGTCTTTCTCATATGAACTCAAATTTATTGTCATTAATCTTACTAGTAGTCACCCGTGCGATGCACGGGGATATTATTTTCTAGAATGTTTATAAAAAACAATTTTGTATATAAATTGTGTTATGCAGGCAATGATCATGATCATAATAATAGACATATAAACATATCATTAAATTGAAAAAATCATATATTATTGAACACTTCCCTATATACAACATTATTGGTTTGATTCTTTGGCACGTCATCTTCGCCACAAATTAAGATTTTCAAACCTTTTCGTTTAGTGACACGGGAAACAACAACATATAACTGGCCATGACTGAACACTGGTTTCTTAAGAAATAAGCCAACATGAGATAAAGATTGTCCCTGGCTCTTGTTTATAGTCATGGCGTAAGAAACCATAATGGGAAACTGTCGCCGCTAGAACTTGAAAGGAATTCTAACATCAGAAGGAGTTATGGCCATTCTTGGAGTCAACACCTTATCACCAGCATGATCTCCTGTGAGTATCTTACACTCAAGAACGTGAGTCGATAGCTTTGTCACTACCAATCGTGTCCCATTACACAAACCCATAGAATGATCCATGTTCCGCAACAACATGACTGGAGTTCCAATCTTCAAATACAACTCATGGTTCGGTATTCCGGAACACTTGATACTATTCAAAAACTCAGGCGTATGGAGATCAGACAAAAAATCATTATTAGAATCCGATTTACACGTACTGTCAGAGCTCAAGTACATACGACCATCCAACAAATTCAATGATATCATGTACTGATTGATAGATTCGACCACATCCAACGTAGGCGCTAATATAGCCCTATCCTTTAAATAATTTGGATCATCGGGTGCCTCTTTATACATTGGACATGTGCTTTCAACTATCTGAGCAATAGGATCATCAGATGGCTGAAGCAAAATGTCCTCGGGTATGTCTATAGGTGCACATCCATCATTCAACCCTCTGATAGTTCCATCTCCGATGTTGGCTATCCAATCTGCAAACCGTGCAAGCTCATCACATTCATCCGAATTAGCAAGTCCCTGAAGGCGCATTTTTTCGTAAGCCTAAGCACAGTACAACTCCTCCATATGTTAGAAGAATTAATGGCAGCATTGGCTATGTCCTGACGGCTACCCTTTAGAATGACTGGAAGGATTTTTCGAAAATCTCCACCAAAAACAATCGGCTTCCCACCAAACGGTTTGTTCAAGTTCAAAAGATCAATTGCTCCTATAATACCCTGCAGCGATGTCTGTACAGTTTCGAAACAATGCTTGTGCATTATTGGTGCTTCATCCCATATTATTAGAGAAACACGAATTATCAATGGTGGATCTATACATTCCGATATTACTCTCGACTTGATAGTTTCGAAATGCATAGACAGCATCTTCTTCGAATTCATTGATGAAAGTTGGGATGTTGATTGCTTTACTATTCCAGTAATTCGACCTACCTGAAAAAAAAAAGAAAAAAAAAATAATATTAGATATTATAATTAACATGATGAGAAAAATGGATAATCATTATTTTTTATTATGAACTAAACCTCAATGTCATGAAAGACAATTTCAAGGATGTTCTTGTAGAATGAGTATTTATTAGTCCTTTGGAAAACTTGAACCACCCTCAACTTGAGCATTGGCCTGTTGATCCTTGTTACTTGCTTGATGTTTCCCCATGCTCTCGCCATTTTTCTGTTTGTATGTGAAATTGTAGTGTGAGATTTTTGTGATACGTGATATAGGCTTCGACGTTTATTTTATAGCCATGGGAAGAAAGTATATAACCATTAGATGATAAGATTAGTTAGACTCACGTTAATCTCTCTTGATAAGATCCATTGCACGTGATTTTAATTTCAGAGTTCCAATAAATTCAAACTCTAATATCATGATAAGATTAGTAAAACGTGATTTATCAGATTGTTAACTCTAGATTTATCCACCGTAGTACTCTGCATTTGTTATGTTTTTTAAATGAATGACATTGAATTCAAATGGAATATATTCCAGTCAATCCAAACACAAATGATTATCACGTTGGTATGGACCGAAACTTTTATGATGATAAGATAAGTGGAAAGTAGTTAAGAAGTGGAGATTTTTGTGTGATAGTATCATTACATAATTACCATCACCATCAATCTTTCCATTAAATTTTGGTCCATACCAACGTAATAAAAAAAAATTCTTGAAAATTTTTTTACATCAAACAAATAATATAATTACGTCAAAAATTTTGTACTTCAAAATTTTAATTCAAACAAATCTTTCCATCTTTTTACGTCAAGATTTTAATAATAATAATTTATATATAACACAAATTAAAATAAATATTATAATCAAATTCATATTTATGAATATAATTCATTATGATAAATTATTGAAAAATCACGCAATATAATCCATTAAATGTACTTGGTTTAGTTATTGTTAATTCCATAAATTTTTTTGTTCAAATAAAAAATACACCAATTTCGAATTCAAATGGAATTCAAAGAGTGATACTCGGTCAATAAAAACCTAAAACAATTTTGAAATGAAATTGTAATTTTCAACCTTATCATGTATGGTGATAAGATAAGTGCAAAGTAGTTAAGAAGTGGATATTTTTGTGTGATAGCATCGTTACATAATTAACATCTTTNAAAAATGCACAAATGTGCGAATACACAGCAGCCAACGACTGAATACACAGCAGCCAACAGCTGAAAAAGTGGGAGGACAGGTCAGAAGCCTGCCTAGAATCCCGACTAGCAACGCTAGAAGAAAAAACACACTCACAACTAAACTAACCAACTAGAAACAACTACGATCAACACCAACAACTAAAAACAACTATAAGGACCCCAACAGGGTAATACCCTAGTGTCGGACCCCAACGGAGTAATAAATTTGACACTCGGGCTCACAGGGGCCAACGACCC